CGGACGCCATGACAGTAATAGATTATAGATTAATAATAATGTCAAAATATCATTTACAGACCGATTTAACAGACGATCACTGCTGCCCGACCTGCAGGTCCATTTGCGGGTCCCGCAAGTTATGGGTCGACCCGCACATCACTACTCAGCTCAGTCTATAAAGGCTGTACACACAACAGTAAGGCTATAGACATTATATTCTATTCAGGCCGGCAGAACCAGCAGCGCATCGGCTCTACAGTGCACAACACTGCTGATTAACCATTTTATTGCAGCTCAGAGTGTCTGCCAGCAACCAATTACTTGCAGAGGCTTCCTACAACTAGTTTCAAAGGTTCCGATTTAATCAGAAGACAAATTAAACAGGATGACTAGCCAATGTGAAAATCAAAAGAAAGCATAGAATAATGTACTGAAGGAGACTGTTGTGCCATCACATTTTTTTGTGGTTTTTGAGCAAAGATCTGGCCGCCGCTGTGCAAAACTCTGCAAAACAATTAGGTCCGAAAAAACCCCAGAGTCACCCCCCACCCATGAACGAATATTCGAATATTCGTTATAAATTCTGCTGCAGGTCCGAATGTTAAAAAATGGTATTCAGGACAGCCCTACCAGTCACGCAGTCAGTAGAGTCTCAGCATCAGTTACAGTTACGACTGAGCTACGATGGCTGACGGCGCGACTAAACCCGAACAACCTCCTTATGATTCCCAAAAATGTCAAGACAAAACTTGAGGCAAAGCGAGGGTCTATATAGGAGATGCTTTTGAACGGTGGAGACGGTTGAAAGTGGAGAATAATTTGAAATCGGATGTCGAAGTGGCTACTCTTCTCCTTGACAGGTAAACTTTAGCCAAAGTTGGCTAACTAGCGTCATAGCTAGACGGGGATAGACATTTCGAATACTTTCAACTGTTATTCATTTTCGATCATACATTGTAGCCCATGTGCAGGTGGGTCATCGACCCGACTGATTTTTTTGAGAAACAAACGTTAGCAGCACGGCAAGCAGCATTAGCAGTGTCCAGGTACATAGCATTAGCAGTCGGCTCCTCCTCCGCTGTATCCCGGCAGCAGCGTTAGCAGCAGAGAAGCCGGACTTGCTCGAACGGTCCGCTGGAAAACCGAAGATCAAGGATGCGGCGACACGGCCCTGCCACGGCAGCCGCCTGTGGGCAAACAAATCACCCCCAATTTCCACCAGATGTGTGTTGGTTGCGTCTGCGCTCCGGCACGGCAGCGGAGCCGATAGGATTCAGTTCTAGTCAATGTGTGTGTTTCCATCGGCTGCGGCTGTGCTGCGTTCCGGCTCCATCTCAGCTGCGGCACTCCGGAGCCCTCTGCAACAGATACGCAGGACTTCTATTTTTGCCGGACGCCGGAGCACCACGCAGCAATTCAGCACGGAGCAGCAACCTCGAATCTGTAGGGGAGGGGGGGCTGACACGACTCGCTGCAGTATTTTGAATTTGAGTGCAGTAACCGTTTTGGCCACATTCTTACATACAGCGCCTTTAAGTTCGAATTAACAGCTTAATGCAGAAACAAACATCAGAAACGAAGGAGGCTTCACACTAAAATATGACCAAATGTACTTATAAAAAATAAAATAAATAAATAAATAAATATAAAAGCCTCTCTCTAACACAAGCCTGCTCCAGTTAAAGTCTTGATACCCTCTGAAGTTGAAGTAAATAAAGATACAGAAGGTAAAATGTAGAGATAGATACCTCAGATATGTTTGGAAGACCCACTTGATCAGCGCCAAGGAACTCTGGGGGGAGCTGATGTCTTGGAGCAGAGCATCAAGGTGACGAAATGTCTGATGATGGTAGCATCCAATCAGATGTCCCGACAACCCCACTGATTCCAACCGGGGTCCCAGCTTCACAAGCTCTTTGTGCACAGTTTCCTTCACATCTATCAGGTGCTGGTGAAGGTTCTTGTCCACATCGGCTGGCGGCTCTGGGAAGTGCTGGTTCACAGATTGTTGGATGAGGCGAACAATGTGATACTGCCGTGAATTGGACTCAGGGCACATTGAGCAACAAGATCCATTCTCAGTGTTGCTGGCATCAAGGTCCACACCCAGAAGTTCAGCTAGTTCCTGAAGTGAGAATTGTTCCTCACTTTCCAGGCGTTGTTCCTCCTTTTCACATCCTATGAAAGAGTCAAACGTCAGATTGTTACAGTAGGTTAATGGGGTCGTGGTTGTGCTCCCGCCTATCCCAGCTGACACTGGGCGAGAGGCAGGGTTCACCCTGGACAGGTCGCCAGACTATCACAGGGCTGACACATAGAGACAGACAACCATTCATACTCACATTCACACCTATGGACAATTTAGAGTCACCAATTAACCTGCATGTCTTTGGACTGTGGGAGAAAACCCACGTTGACACGGGGAGAACATGTGGGTTCCACACAGAGGGTTTGAACCCTCTTGCTGTAAGACGACAATGCTAACCGCTGTACCACCATGCCGCTAATAAATATCACTATAAAATTATAAAATATACATGTATGTCACATTTCTGCTGACTCACTCCTTACAAGTGTAAAACCCAGAGGTGGAGTGTGATGTAAATGTGAGGTACTTGTTCTTGAGTATTTTAAATCTCATGCCACTTTCTACCTCTGCTCCACTAGAGGGANTAAAACCCAGAGGTGGAGTGTGATGTAAATGTGAGGTACTTGTTCTTGAGTATTTTAAATCTCATGCCACTTTCTACCTCTGCTCCACTAGAGGGAGGTATTGTACTATTTACTTCACTACAACTATTTGAAAGTCTTAGTTACTAGTTGCTTTACAGCTTAAGGATTTTACCCAAAACACATGCAGAGCTCATTAAGAAGAAGTAGAAATAAAAGTCTCAATTATCAAATTAATGCACAGGTAATTTTGAAAAAAAAAAAAAAAATCATAAATACACAAAATATTTTTAAACTATTAAATAAATAACCTTGTTTTTGATTTTGATTTTTCCCCCCCAGTTTATTATTTTCTGTTTACATGTATCTCAGTTTTTATTAAAGAGGGGGCGTGCCTTGATGGTGTCACTTAACAGCCATTGGTTGCAAACAAAAATAAATGAATAGGGAATTAAATAAACAGAAATCAATGTAAACATAAATGGGAAATAATGAAATATGAAAACATATGAATACAAAGTAAGTAATTTGTCAAATAAATAAACAGATGAATAATACTTAATAATAGAAAATATTAAAGAAATTGATGTATTTGTAATTTATCTTTTTTAGTAGTACATTTGGGGTCAGTGCTAGGTCCGATTCTCTTGGCCATCTTATACACAGGCATAATATCAGTTTCCATTTGTATGCAAGTCAAGTCAAGTCAAGTCAAGTCAAAATTAATTTATATAGCACATTTAAAAACAACCTGGGTTGACCAAAGTGCTGTACAGTTCATCCAAAGAATGAATGAATAGCAAAAACCACAAAAATTATCAATAAGATCAACAATAGGTTTAGACAATANGACCCAACTAACAACTATCAAAACATGACTAAAATGATAAACTGCCTTCCTCACATTCACAAGTGGATGTCACAAAATGTCCTGCAGTGTAATGACAACAAGACGGAGATACTAATCATACGTCAAGATAGTGCAAACGTTCAGATCTCAAAGAGTCTTGGTTCTCTGTCCCACTCAATAACTTCACACTGCAGAAATCTTGGTGTCATTTTTGATCAATCCCTCAGTTTAGACAAACATGTAAATTTGGTAGTTCAATCCAGCTTCCTCCATCTCAGAAATATCTCGAGAATCAGATGATTCCTTTCCAGCAAACATCTGGAAACTGTTATTCATGCATTCATAACCAGTCGTTTAGATTATTGCACTTCCTTGCTCTCTGGCATCAGTAAAAAATCCCTCTCACACCTCCAGCTCATCCAAAACTCTGCTACTCGGACTAGAAAACATGACCCCATCACACCAATCCTGGCTTCCCTACATTGGTTACCTGTTGCTTTTAGAAATGATTTTAAGATTTTACTGATTACCTACAAAGCCCTGAGAGGCCTCGCTCCAATTATATAACAGATCTTTAATTGCCCTATGTGCCTTCTCGCACCCTGAGATCCTCAGATGCATCTTTTCCTGTTGGTCCGAGGTCAAGCTTAATTCACAAAGGTGACAGAGCCTTTGCAGTCAGAGCTCCTCGACTTTGGAGTGACCTGCCTGAGGAGATCAGAGCTGCAAACTCAGTCTCATCTTTTAAATCACTTCTGAAAACCTACTTCTTTAAAACTGCCTTTCAATTATTTTAACTATTTTATTGTTGTGTGTCTTAACTTTGTTATTTGTATTCTATTTTTATTGCTTTTATCTTTTTTTATTGCTTTGTCTTTTATTTGGTTTTGAAAAGCACTTAACTGTGTTTTGAAAGGTGCTATATAAATAAAGTTTATCATTATTATTATAATATGTTTTTTTCCCTCCATATTTCATTTATCTTTGGAATGAATTTTAACTTGTAATTTCTGATATATTATGATAGATGTAGCTACCCAGCAGTTTATAAAGTAATTAAAATGATCTCTATCTTTACCAGCTGCAACATTAAAGTATAAAACACATCATTGTTTTAGCACTTTGTAACTTCTGAGGTTCTATATTTACATTTCACAAACACACACCCAGGAAAATAGTATTTAAAATTATGTTTAAACAGTCCTTTATATGTGTGGAGGGTGGGCTGGGGGAGGGTTTGGATACCAGACAGTGCATGTAAATTTATTTTTGAAACAATGGGTTAATGAATAAACTAACCATAATTACATTCAACCTTAAGGGTATTAACAATCCTATAAAGCGGAAGAAGATTTTAAACTATCTCAAAAGCCATAAATGTGATATTGCCTTTTTACAAGAAACACATTTAACCGACATTGAACATGAAAAACTCAAATGTGACTGGGTTTTTGGGCTTTTTAAAACCGGGCAAGGATGAACACCAGAGTAGCTCATACAGACCCCTCTCTCTGCTCAGTGTGTCATTTAAAGTGCTGTCAAAATTGCTGGCACTGAGACTGGAGACAGTTTCATTAAAGGTTGTCAGGGCTCTGATAACCTCTGTAAACTACTCCACCTTATTCATGACTCCTCAATTACCTCAGAGGATAGACTGGTCTTCTCAATGGATGCAGAGAAGGCATTTGACAGGATCGAATGGCCCTTTCTATTTCAAACCATGAGAGAAATGATTTTTGGGAGTAAGTTCATAAATTATGTTAAAACATTATATAAAGCCCCCAAGGCTCAAACTGCCACAAATGGTGTGTTATCTAGACCTTTCGACCTTAAGAGAGGCACAAGACAGGGATGTCCACTATCCCCCCTGCTGTTTGCTATAGCTGTTGAACCGCTTGCGGCGGCCATTCGCTCAAACCCCAAAATTAGAGGAATTCGAATAGGAGAGATAGAGTGCAAACTGTCACTTTAGGCAGATGATTTGTTAATCTATATATCCAGCCCTAATAGTTCAGTGCCACAGATGTGTGAAATATTAGAAGAATATAGTCAGCTGTCAGGGTATAAGTTAAACTTAGGCAAAAGTGATGTCATGCCCTTAGGAACTTCCACTCGATCAGGTCTTCCTGACCTGATATCAAGGTTTAAATGGAAACTGGAGGACTGTGTATATCTAAGGACCTAATCTGTATTCATAAATTGAATTACCACCCACTCATAGAAATACTCAGGAAGATTTGCAGAGATGGAAGAATCTGCCTCTGTCTCTAATAGGAAGAGTCAACATTATTGAAATGAATGTGTTGCCAAAATGTATTTACTTATTTCAATCTATACCTCTGAAATGCCCTAATAAGTTGTTTACTGAAATTAATCAGGTAATATCAAATTTTATATGGTCACACAAACGTGAGAATCAAAATGTTCAATTTGCAAGCTTCAATCAATAAAGGAGGACTAAATTTGCCAGACCTTAAATTATACTATCTGACCTCTCAACTCAGAGCTGTATGGTACTGGTCCCATGAAAAGACTCAAACGGCGTCATGGTTGGACATAGAATGACACCTTGTAAAATATATACCTTTAGAGTCTCTTCCTTATATCGGAACCCAAGTGGGAAAAATTACATCCAACCTGATAATTATCCACACTTATGAGTGCTGGCAGAAATGCCATAACCTCATAGGCATAAAAACATGCTCTTTGTAAGGACACCCCTGTGGAATAACTTTCCTCTGCAAGAGTTCATGTCTGATAGAATATCTAATATATGGCAAGACAGTGGCATTCAAGTCTTGGTGATCTCTGTAAAGACGGTCTAGTCAGTGAATTCTCAGATATTCATAATCAATATCATTTACCTTCTTCACATTTATTTAAATATTTACAAATAAGAAACTGTGTGATGACTACTTTAGAATTGGAGACACACCCTTGGGAAAAATAATTGATATTTCTGACTCACTAACTGGACTGATCTCAAAACTTTATAAATGTATTAATAATTGTTTGGATCGGGAACACTTGAAATATAAGTACAAATGGGGAAAGGACTTGAATGCTAATTATACGGACTCAGAATGGGAAACAATTTTAAGAAATTCACAGACTTTTTTAACCAGCAGAAAGCACAGACTCATCCAATTCAACATCCTGCATCGCACTTTCTATACTTTTCATAGATTAAAACAGATGTACTAATTAAATTCATCATCCTGGCCAAGATGCACTACCAGGGAAGGTGACCTATACCATATGTTATGGGACTGTAACAATCTTAAACTATTTTGGTAAGATGTTCACAATAATATATCTAAGATTCCCCAAAAGATACTCAAACCAGACCCCCTGGTAGCTATTCTTGGGGATTTAAACAGATTAAATAAATTTACAGTTCATGAAAAAAATTCATTATGTTAGTATTGACTGCAGCAAAAAAATGCATAATGGTGAATTGGAAGTCTGCATCACCACCGGCGATGAAACATTGGTGGAATGAACTTACCTCATATTGTACCCCAGAAAGAATCATGTATAATGTGAAGGGTAAACCAGAGCATTTCCTTAATATATGGGGACCTCTATTAAATGCAATCCCACAGATTGAAGTCTCCCTTTGTTGAGGCATGCTTCATTCTATAGGGTATAATGGTAC